CGTTGCGTAGTTTTAAAGATCTAAGCATACATAGGGACAGACAGCGGAGGAAATGCGTTGCATGATTTCGTTACATAGCAACTCGCATAAAACGAACTTACCCAGCCGTGCGTAAAGAAGTTTCAGTTCAAAAATTTGTAGTATATTGATCACAGTCTCATAGTAGACTAATTACATGATCAGATTTCTAACTTCCTGGGGGTAATAGCACTAGATGTGGATTCATTAACGGCATGGGTGGGTGAAGAAAGAATTTGTAAATGTTGTCAGTGCTAAGCATGAATTTTACCAAATAAAGTGCACGTTACACAGCATGCATTATTTAAAGTAATTAATGGTCATTTCCTGTACAGTGTAATTACTACAAACATCAGGACAGGTTAGCTTAATGTATCTGCACGAAGGATGACTATTTATCCTCTTTGGTATGACGGTTGTCAGTGATTATACGTCGAGTTTTGTAATTAAAAAGCAAAATGAGAAAAACGTTCTGATTTCTGTATTATTCCAGTAACATAAACAATTTTTAATTTTAACAAAGGGAAAGCAGTTGAAAATGAGAACAAATTTGATGACCCAAAATCGCCCTTAACTTTGGCACCAAATGTGATCAAAGTGCTTGTACGTACTAAAAGCAAACATGACAGTATCGGTTATATTTACCCCCACATATTACAAAACTAGCTGTGTAACGCTATTTATAGAAATGTAAACTACATTCCATTAGAGGGACAATGGTTTGAAACCACCCCCACAATAACGCACAATAACAAACTCAAATAATACATAATTTTCTTTTCTTCACACCTACCCCTATATAAATAAAACTAATCCTACGCTAATATCACAAAACCTACCCTATCGTTGGTAGAAATTTATTAAACAGCTTCTGGGTGATTTACGAAAGGACAAAATCCAAAAATTTTCCCATCTACTTTAATAAACTTCGTATCATCGAAGGAGTATAAGGGATATAAGGCAGAGGATAGCGCAGGGTCGAGTCGCCTTCAATAAAAAGAAGTCAATTCTATGCTCGCGAACGCTTAATTAAGAAATTCGAAAAAGGTTGTTAAAGATGTATGTTTGGAGCACGGCACTGTATGGGTGCGAAACATGTACAATGGGCGTGGCGGAAAACAAAAGATTAGAAGCGTTCGAAATGTGATGTTACAGGCGAATGATGAGGATATCGTGGATAGAGAAGGTTAGAAATGACGAGGTATTAGAAAGAGTAGGAGAACAGAGGACTCTATGGACACCTTCTCAGGCATGAAGATCTAGTCAGAGACATATTAGATCGCAAATAGTTAAAGATATGGGTTGTTCTAGCTTCAGGGAGATGCGAAGACTAGCTCAGGCTAGAAAGGAGAGGAGGCGCGTTAGGACTGATGACCTTATGATGATGAAGATGATGATATTATCCTTACAAAGTCAATCTCTTTAAAATTAGTAAATTCCAGTTTTTCCCTGTTTTTAATGAACTCTCAGTTAATAGTCCTTTACGCTCTGCAGTTACTTCTGCTTTTATGCAAGGGTAAAATATTTAACTAAAAGAATCAGAAACATTCGTTCATTGTCACCGCGAGCGGCAACAAATTAGCTTGATATTCAATTAAAAAAAAACGAACGAACAAAAAAAACAACAATGACAGTTTCTGCCTCTACATTCGTATCAGTGTCCCGTTTTCACAATAGTAAATACCGTTTGAATTAATCCTGAAACTGATTAAGTGTCGGGCAGCGTGGACGCTATTTAAAACGCCAAAAACAGCGACCTTTTGAAAGAAAAACGACCGGTGTGTGTGTGGTTACGCTACAAAAACTCTCACCAAGCCTGATCTTCTAGTACAATAATTATCTTCCCGACAAAAAGTCCAGTCATTTGTTTCCTCCAATGTACGCAGAGCATTTATATGTCAGTCTACTGTTATACATGTATTTCCGAGAAAATAACGCAGAAGTTTTGTATGTTGACATTAATATAAGTACTCTTTTTTACAATTGAACCGTGGGTGCTCATCAGGGATCTTAAAAACTCCGGGATTAATAGCTCGTACTGTGACCATTTTTTTGAGAGACATCCGAATATATGTATAGGCACTTAATATAATTTGGGGTATGAAGGAAAATGAAACAAAAACTTCGTCCAATCGGAACGTTTTAATCTGTTTAATCAGCTAAACAATAAGTCAAGCCCCTGTGGTACTCACTCACGAACATTGGCTCTTTTTGAGCTAAAAAATATCGCCACTGTTTTATTTTTATGATTACTTTATCGTCGCGGTTTCCTACAATAAGACTGTAAAAGGCAGATTTTACTATAAAAGAAACAAGTATTCTTTTAGTACAATTTATCAATTTAAGCAAAATCTTTATTATCTTTAGTAGGGATATAAAGCAGAGATAGCGCACGGTCGAGTCGCCTTTAATAAAAAGAAGTCACTTCTATGCTAGCGAACGGTTAGTTTAGAAATTCGATAAGGGTTGTTAAAGGTGCGTGTTTGGAGCGCGGCGTTGTACGGATGCAAAACATGGACAGTGGGTGCGGCGGAAAAGAAAAGGTTAGATGCCTTCGAAATGTGGTGTTATAGGCGAATGATGAGGATAACGTGGGTAGAAAAGGTTAGAAATGAAAAGGTATTGGAAAGAATAGGAGAACAGAGGACTCTATGGAAGTCAATAAAAAATAGGCGAGATAGGTTGGTAAGACACCTTCTCAGGCATGAAGGTCTAGCCAGAGACATATTAGAAGCAGAAACAGGAGTTAGGAGAGCTAGAGGTAGACCTAGGTTAGACTACTGTTCGCAAATAATTAAAGATGTGGGTTGTTCTAGTTTTAGCGAAATGCGAAGTTTACCTCAAGATAGGAAAGGGTAGAAGTATGTGTCCAACCAGTCTTAGGACTGACGACCTTATGATGATGATGACGTCAAACCAAAACATTTTTGAAAAGTATTGTACTTTTAGGTTTACAAATGTCAATTAAATATTAGAGGCGGAAACGTCCGCTTACATTATTTTCCAAGACAGCAGAATTTTATTATAATAACCTTTTCTAGCTAGAAAAGGTTATCTTGTCTGTTTCACTAACGTCTTTAATTCTGGTAATTGTTCAGAATTGGGGCTCCAGACCAAAATCGCTCCAATAATTTTTTCATCAATTTCCGCTCATTCTACATAATAGAATTAGATATTAGAAGGTGGGGGAGACAGTTTTTGATGACTTTACAAATAAAAAAAATTTTTTTTTTTAATAAGTTTTCAAAAATTGCCCTAATTCAGGATAATTACCTGCACTGGTAGCGCCATTGTTTGGTTAGGTAGATTTATGACAGATTAGAGTTAATCTAATGCCACTGCCCGCCGATATGTTCGTGTATTTATTCATAGAAAGCATTAGTTTTATACTAGTACAATATTGGAATTTCATACAATTCCTAGAATTGAGGCTCCAAAAATTTTTTCATTGATTTCTGGTCATTTCTAAGGGTTAAATGATTATATATGAGACGGGGGAAACACATTTGTATTTTTTTTTACAGCATACATCATAGCGTATATAGCTATTTCTTCTATTAATATAAATAAAGGAATTTCTTGCAGCGACAACCGTGAGATAACATCCTCCCCTTCTGTCTCTTCTCGTACGTACCATTTAGAACTGTGATTTGAATTTTGAAAAATTATCATTCAAAAAAATTTTCTTTTATAATTATGAAGTCATAAAAAACTGTCTCCCCCACCTTCTAATATCGAATTATATTATGTAGAAATTGATGAAAAATTTTTTCGAACGATTTTGGTTCGGAGCCCCAATTCTAAATTCTAATTACCTTTATTCTTTGTGAATTATTAGGTACCTATAGACCTTTTATACACTTTTATAAGACGTTTTATTATCACTGGCGACTATTTATTATTATATTACTTATAACAAAGAAGTTTGAATTGTGTGTATAATTCTCGTCCTTCAAGAGGAAGGATTTAGTAAAAAATAACAGGTACTACTATAGGTATTTGCAAAAAAATATCGTATCCTTAGTATAACTAAACATTGTTTTTCAACTTCAGTTTCCTACAGTTTTCTATTAAAATTGTTTTTATCCTTGAGTATGATATCGATCAGTCATCATCATCATGTACTGGAAATGGATGAAACACATCCAAAAATTAAAATGATTATTTATGCAACAGCTTGTTAAACATTCAAATTGTCCATTTCAACCGAAAGAACACAGTTTATGATGACAACTTCATGTTCAGCCGTCACATTTCATGCAAAACAACCAACGTCGAGAGTTCGCGTGATGGTCCAGTTTTTGCACCTCTTCCAATTTAACCGCTCTACAACAGACAGAGCCGGTAGTCGAACGTTTCGAGAACAAACTCGAAAAGAGACATTGAGACGAGACACGCGAACAAAACGCTGTTATTATAGTTACGATGACAGCAATACGAACTTTATGTTTTCATTTGGTAAATAGCGTTGTCGTGGACGGTAATTTTCCAATTAAACGGGCGTACAAAAAACTCGAAGTGGGACAAATAAATGCGTGACACAGGGCTATGATTAAAACAATGTTATAGAAACAACTTAAACTTTTTATAAATTAGTAAGTTAACTTTGATAAAGAGATATAATCTTTAAGGAAATGCACCTATACAAAAGAATTTCTCTCTACCTCGTACTGTTACTCTGTCAGAAATTAATAGATCTTCTTTATAAATAAAGTAAGATACAGGATTTAAGGATTTTAATATGTCAGGAGCATCTTCAGAGTCATTTTTGTCTTTCATGTACCTGCTATAAAAGACGATTTAAGTGTTACCGAAAAATAAAATTCTACTACATCCCATATTATAGAACCACGTCGGCGATATTTAAAATAGAAGGAGAAAATTATAAAATGATTATATTTCTGATGAGATAATGGCATACTTATAGTAACTTAGCCAGGTATTGTTACATATCAATTGGGATCAGATCAATAAATAATTACCTGTATCTTCATCTTCCTTAATAACTTCAAAGGCGGAAACCACTTCGGTAGAAGACAATACCACAACATATATCATCAGAATGTAACACTTTAAACACCACATATTTTAGAAATATTATAAAAAAAAGTTGGTCGGTCACTTTAAGATCGGATCAAAATAATTCGCGACTGATATCGCCGTTCATCAATATCGTCATGATGTTGATTGAAAAAAAAAAAATTTAAAACAGAATAAAATCCAAAAAGGAAAGTTTTGCGACAAGTGTTTGTAGAGCTTTCGGTATCGAGAGTTGCGTTCGCGCAGAAGGGTCGGCTTCTAGCCCCCACCGGATTCGTAGCTTTACTGCTCCGCAACTTTCCGTCGCTCAAGGGTAGAAAATCGAGCTTTCGAAGCTTTCCGAATCGAAACCGACCACGTACGAACACCTGAAGACAATGGAATACGCGCGGAGAAAATACTATGTGCTCCAATGGGCAATATGCCAAAAATAGGGACGTTTTGGAACGACACCGCGCACGCTACCGTCAGAGAGTCGTAAAATTCGGTCAAAATTCTTGTATAATACTTACTCTCACAAACTGTATAAAAATTACAGATAATGTAACCCGGTGATGCAGAATTCCCTGCCGGGTACAAGCCGAGTTCCCTCCTGTTCATATCATCTCCGATAATTAAGTTAACGACTACTTACCGATTTTAGTTATCGAAAATAAATAGATATTTATAGTGCACTTCAGTACTTCAGTAAATTAATGATAAAATAATTTCAGAAAGAAAACACATATCAGTTGTGAAATGTTTATTTATTTAATTTTAAAATGGTTTCCCACTACCTTAATAAATTCTATGTTTGGAAATTCGTGCGCGTCTAGCTTTTTAATGCAATCATCCAGAAAAATTTTATTAGTTCTAGTTTGTCTTATATTTGACCAATAGAAGGGCAGTCCGATAAAATTATTATTGTTATTGTGGTGTCTATAATATATGAATAATATTAAGATTAATATGTGATGTGAGGCTGTCTTATTTAAACAACTCTTTATGACTTTATAGTGGTAATTAGCACTCAAGGTCCGCCGCCGTTTGAAGGCAATTGATGCATAATTGGGAGGGAATTCGACATACCGAAAATTTTAAACTAGGCATTATCCATGTGACCATACTTGTGACTCTATTTTGACATATTAAACTAAGGAAATGTACGATAACTTCTAGGGGCTGATAGATAGAATAAATACAGAAAATAAATAGTTTCTTATCATCATATCTCACATCAAATATTGCCAAATCAATAAAAAGCACATTGCTGCGTTTGGTATGTAATTAATGATTAACTGAATTTAAACAATGGGACGCTAACGTTCAAAAGTTGGTGTCAATTGGTGACTACGAGCTTCTTCACGCACCTTCTCAAGCCGCCAGACGAGAGTTTGTATAAGTAAATTGATTTCGACTTTCAATTTTCGGATGTCTTTTCTTTTGGTATTCTATTGCTTACTTTCATTTTATTTTATCAACTGCACGTCAAAGGAGGTACTGTTTTGGTCGATTTGGTGTTATTTAATGTGATATCCATATAATTAGAAATCGACGAGTTATTTAACGTTGAAATCATTCATTTATTCAATGTGTTATCATTTGCGTAAATTTTCTTGCATATACTAAATTCTTTATGTTTATCTCACGTTTGATAATCCGTAATGTTTACAATCACGATCCATGTAGCTGAAGAGTTTTTATCGTGCTACGTTATTCGGCAGACACCTATGTCGGCAATTCCCGCACAGGACCGGCTTCAGATTTTAAATTCCGACCATTTTCGATAGATTTGAATAGAGCGGCAGAATTTACATTTTCATTACCTCTCGTAACGACTGGCCGAATTTATCACTGTTTGCCTTACTGTCTGTCCTAGCGATGCAACGGAAGTGTCATAACGGAAACAGAAGTAAATAGTAAATTTTTGCGGAAGCGGAACTGTAATGCTTTTTAGTGACTGTTTAATGCAGTGATGAATAGTTTGTTACAAATTTTGCATTTAGCAGTTGTATCGGTAATATCAGCAAAATAATTCCAAATGGAACTTCCTTCTGGATTCAAAATTGCACTTTTAACTTCAAATATACACGGCTGAGCAAACACTATCCAAAATAACTAAACGCTATAACTGTATTAGTATTTTCGAAATGAAATTATTAGTACTGGCTAAAGCGGGCGGCGGGGGGAGGGGTTGAAAGTCCTGGACGTTTTTAGATTAAAGTACGAAACAAATAACAGAATGAAATTTGGAAAGTATTAACATACGAAATACTAGGAAATAAATTTTACCGTGAATTAGCGTCAATACTTCATAAACAAAAACGGTTGATAATAATACGTTCACAATGTTACAGAGGGCTTGCTGAAAGCTGGCGTAGGTACCTGCACTACATGAAGCTTTGCACCGAGCAATTCCATTTAAATTGTGTTTTGAAAACGGCCAAATTCAGCCAACAGATAAAAGTAATATTGTTTTATTGTTCCGATATATTGATTTCCAAAAGGATTTTGTTAAGTTCCGGTAAGCTTCCATTATAAAAAATGCGGAACCAGATGCAGATGCAGAGGCAGATGCGAAAATTTATGCAGAACTTCCGTAATTACGGAATGTTTAAAGGTAATTCCATAAGAATTCTTTTTTTTTATAACAAATCATGCATATATCATAACCAAAATCTTGTATTTCGAGAATAGGCACTCATCTTTAGCGCCTCGGTCGTTGAACGAAGCCGTTGGCTAATGCATAATGTATTTAACACCATAATTAAAAGCAATAAATGTTGAGAGAGTAATTATTACTATGGGACACGGCAGATGCTTTGTATGCAGTAATAGCCTTACCTTTCCGCGTGGCATCATCTTGTGAGAATTTTGGCAGGCTACCAAAGCGCTCATTATAACACTGTCAAACCGATTTTGTTATCATCTTTTATATAAAATAGACATTATGTTTCTTGCATTTGTAGAGCTTAATAAAATGCTATCTCGAAATAAATTCATCATCACCATAGGGTCGTCGGTCCTAAGACTGCTTGGACACGTACCTCCACTCTTTCCTATCCTGAACTAAACTTCGCATTTCCCTAAAACTAGAACAGCCCACATCTTTGACTATTTGCGAACAGTAATCTAATCTAGGTCTACCTCTACCCCTCCTAACTCCCGTTTCTGCCTCTAATATGTCTCTGACCAGACCTTCATGCCTGAGAAGGTGTCCTACCAACCTATCTCGCGTATTTTTTATTGACTTCCATAGAGTCCTCTGTTCTCCTATTCTTTCCAATACCTCTTCATTTATAACCTTTTCTACCCACGATATCCTCATCCGCCTATAACACCACATTTCGAAGGCTTCTAACCTTTTCTTTTCCGCCGCGCCCACTGACTATGTTTCGCACCGGTACAACGCCGCGCTCCAAAATTAATCGTTCGCGAGCATAGAAATGACTTCTTTTTATTAAAGGCGACACGACCGTGCGCTGTCCTCTGCTTTATATCCCTACTACTCCTTCCGTCCTGACTTATCTGACTTCCTAGATATCTAAAATCAGCCACTTCTTCTAATTTTTCGTCTCCTATCTTTATATTCGCTCTTTCCCTACTTTTTCTTCCCTTGCATACCAGTATTTTAGTTTTACTTTTATTTATTTTCATACAGTACTGATCTGTCAGTACCGCTTCCATTTTNCTGACTTATCTGACTTCCTAGGTATCTAAAATCAGCCACTTCTTCTAATTTTTCATATCCTATCTTTATATTCGCTCTTTCCCTACTTTTTCTTCCCTTGCATACCAGTATTTTAGTTTTACTTTTATTTATTTTCATACATTACTGATCTGTTAGTACCGAAATAAATTATTCTAAGCTAAAAAGAAGACAGTGGTTCTTGGGTTTTAAAACTGCGTGGACTTGTGAGATTCTTATGACTTTGATCTCTTCAAATTATTTAGCATCAATCCTGGACTCCTTTCAAACACTGAAAATCCCGACTTAATTTGCCAAATGTTTCTTAAGTTAATTCTTTCACAATGATCACCCTCCCTCTTTTGTCATCCTTGATAAGTATCAAGAACACTATTAGAACAATGGTGAAAATTTTGTATTTTTCACCTGATTTTAATTATTTAGCGTCTATGTTTTTCACTGTTTGATTGCTAATAACTTGACCAAATCATTTTTTGCTGATGCGCCTTCTACAATTAGTTCTATCTATCTAATCTATTAATTTTTTGTGCAACAGTAGTTTCTTGAACAGAATTTAACTTCATAAATACCCTCGTACGCTTATTTCGCGCTGTTTACACTTTCTAATAAACAAACGGGCCGGAAATTTCAATCTAATTTCCGTGCTTTTGTAACAACCTTCGCCTTTTAGTTAAACAAAATGTACCTAAAGCTGCATTGGTTCTACCAGACGATGTATCCCATTGTCTGGAACAAATACAAAATTTTCCAATCTATTTCAAACACATATTATAACAACAACAACTGCAACTGCTTCCCAGTTATTATTAATATTTTCCTGGTCTTAGTCTCAGTTTTCACTGGTTTACTTTGAGCAAGTGAAGACGGGTTAATGCCAAAGAACCTCACTCACATCTTTTGGGATATGATATGGAAGCCAATTTTCTGTTCTTAAATTTTATAGAGCTAACAGTACTTCTTGCCCTGAAATATGATCGGTGATTATTAAAAACTCGGCTTCTAATTTAACCTGTTGTGTTTTCTGAAAAGGGGGATATGTCAGTACTATTCTATTCCGCATGTATCAAGGATTACTGATTTCTGTGGACTTATGTACGTAAGTTTATGCAGTTTCAGCTCGGCTAGGCTAGCGTGTAATGACTATTGATGATATTATTATTGGAATAATTCGAACTGTGTTCTGATTCCACATTCCTGTTATTTCATCAGCCAAAGGAATATATTTTTGAATTTTCTCCCCGAGATAAAAATGTTCAGTTTCTCAGAGTCTCTGAAAGCGAGACTCGGGTCTCCGTCTCTCATCGAGTCTCTCTGGAGTCGCTGAGAGAGACTGTAAAAAAAACTGTTTAGCGTCTCTGAACGAGAGACTCGAATCGTTCATAGAAAGATCCTCATTTCGCATCCAGTCTCTGAACGAGAGACTCGAATCTCTGAAAGACAGTGGTGTTTCGATAGACATGGTTAAAATTTTCTAAGTTCAACATATTTCAGAGATCCCAGCCTTTCTACGAGAGACTCGAGTCTCTTAATTTTTCAGCTTTATTCATTCAGTTTTTCTGTGAGAGACTGG